TCGGCCGTCCTTGAGCTAACAGAAGTGGTGCATCTCTGCACTAAGTCAAAAGTAAACAGATCACATGATGGCTGAGCCGGAGGCACGGCTGCAAACATGCCTTCTTGATCCCCCTACCTTTGTGCTCAGGCTTGGAATTCTGCAAAAGTCCCAGAATTGTTTGCAAAATCACTTTCTCATCAAGGTTGTAGCTACAAACAGTTGCTAAACAAGGCAGCTGCTACATGAGGACTATCTGTGTATAATGCAGGGGTGGGCAACCTTGGCTCTTTTATGACTTGTGGACTTCAACTCCCAGAATTCCTCAGTCAGCATGGCTGGTTCAGGAATTCTAGGTAATGAAGTCCACAAGTCATAAAAGAGCCAAGGTTGCCTGCCCCTGGTCTAGCCTCTTCTTGAAAACCTCCAGGGATGGAACGCCCACGATTTATGGTGGCAAGCTGTTCCACTGATTAATTATCCTCCCTGTCAGGAAGTTTCTCCTTAATTCCAGGTTGCTTCTCTCTTTGATCAGCTTCCAACCATTGTTTCTCATCCTTCCCTCTGGTGCTCTGGTGAACAACGTGACCTTCTCTGCTGTCTCCTGCCTCTTCCCAGGTGCATTAACACCTTTTAAAGTTTTTCAGCTTTTTCCATACTAACACACAGTTAAACACCGAGTGCCCCAAAACCGCCCCACCCACTCCACCCACCTGCCCACAGGGCCACCTACCACCTCCACGGCCTGCTGCAGCAGATCGCCCAGGCGGCCCTGCAGCATCATGGCAGCCACACCCTCCACCCGCGCCCTGCAATATCATCTGCGTGCGACGGGGCGCGAGGGTGGAGTCTTGTCTCTGCTGCCTGGATGACATGTCTTTGGCTGCGCTGCTCTGCATGGGCCGCGCCCAGGGGCGACTCTCCTCCGGGCGGGGCTGCTGGTGAAGAGGGGGCCACAGGAAGGCAGGGCTGGGGCAATGGTGCACGTGCCCACAGAGAGGTCTCTGAGTGCCGCCTCTGGCACGCGTGCCATAGGTTCGCCACTACTGTTATAGGTCGTGAATGCTCCAACACTGGAAGTTTTTAAGAAGAGACTAGACAGCCATTTGTCCGAAATGGTATAGGGTTACCTGCCTGAGCAGGGGGTTGGACTTGATGACCTCCAAGTCCCTTCCAACTTGATGATGATGATAGCAGGTTTATTCAAGCAAGCAAGAAGATTGGCAGCCTTCCGTTTGTTCAGCCAATAATGCTCCTGACCAGTCTGATATTTTATTTTACTCCACTGCCAGATAAAGCGTGCCCTGATCTGAGAAAACGTTGTAGGCTTCTGTTAAAAGGAAGTCAGACGTGTGATGCTGTGAAATGCTTAATTTTAGAAAGGGAGGGGGGAGAGGAGGGCTGGCTGGGTGGCCTTTAGCCTCCTCAACCAGTAGATGGCGGTGTAGCCTGTAAAAGAGAGGAACCTCAATAGAATTTGTAGCTGGAACTGAAGGACAGAAATGAAAAGCCAAAATGCGCCTTGCCGTTTTTTGTTGCTGAAGACTGCACAATTTCCCCTTGTCCAGAGGATGGATAGTCTCTCACTGAATCCCTTTCCCACTGTTCCTTTCCTCTTTTCCTCTTTAGAAGCATGTATCAACCTCATGGCTTCAGATTGTGATGGATTGTCCCAGCAGCTGGAATCCAGCACATCTGGAATCCCCCAAGGTGGGGAAGGCAGTTTTATTTATTTATTTATTTATTTATTTATTTATTTATTTATGAGACTTATATACCGCTTTAAGTGCAAGCACTCTCTAAGCGGTGTACACCAGTAAGCAATGTGTGTGTGTGTGTGTGTGTGTGTATATATATATATATATAATATATATTATATATATAATAGGGTCCTAGACCCTATTATTGCGCTTTACATTCGGAGTATGCATATTTTACAACTGAGGGTCTTAACTTTTTCTTCTGAAAGCTCCAGAGGCTCCGTTCTTCAGCTACCCTCCCCATTCTAAATATCAGGCATTTTTGTGTTGCATTTTTGTGAATCAAGTGTAATCAGGTTTACTTGGAGGCAAATGCACAATTTTTTTTTCAGTGGAACCCACTTTCAAATTAGAATGCTCGGCTTTGTAGTCCTTCAGAGTAAAACCGACCGGAGCTTATTGTGAATAAAAAGTACAACAAGTTGGGTTCAATGGCACTTCTGTCTAAAAAAAGCAGGAATAAGTTTGTTTTGAACTGTATAATGCCCTTCGCTGCCATCATTCTGGCCTGGCAGAGAAGCTGAGTAGGGTAGTTTAACCCAAGCCCATCCCACTGTGGTTTATTCTCCCATACCGCTGCATGATTTTGTGAACTCAGAATTCAAGCTTTCAGACTCAGAAGATTAAAGAAAGAATAACCCTGAGAAGTCATGAAAAGTGGACAGGGCAAATCCATCAACAGTTGACCGGACTATTTTCCGCCTCTTGTAACATGATGGGCTTCAGTCAACTATGAAGAAGATTGTCCAAGCTTGTTAGCATTTTAGCAACATTTATACTCTTAGCACTACTTCCAGGGCCAGCTCTACTCTTAGGAAGCGGTGGTCCCTTCCAGCAACAGGTGCAAGGAGGGGAGATGGTAAAATCCCATCATCCCACTGTTGACATCTTCCCCATTTGGTACCCTGGGCAGTAACTGCTGAGACAATTTCTCTTAATCCCCTTACCACATTATATCATAGAGAGGACAACTGGGGCAGGCCCTGAATAAGTGAGCAGCAAAGCAGCATCTCAAGTTCTGGAGATGTTCTGGAGGACCTCACCGTGTGGATCACTCGTCCACCATACTGTTCTCAGGCCCAGTAGAGGACACATCACCCGTGTTGGTCACTTCAGTTGCCTGTCCAGATGGCTTGCATTTGCAGAACGCTTCTCGGTTCCAGATGCCACCTTTCCTTCGGCCCACTCTTCATTCTCCATGTCTGGATCACGGCTCCTCCAAGAAACGCTGACATCTCCAAGAGCGAGAGCTGCTTTAGAGGATTTCTCTTTGGAAGAGCAGCAAAGCTTCGCATCCTCCTCTCTCCCGTCTCCTCACCCACCCACCCCCTGCCTCCTTTGCACACTGCGTCAGCTCCCATCATCTCAACTTGCGCAGAGAGTGGAGATGTTGCTCAATATTTTATCATGGTTGTCCCCTGGTGGCTTGCAGACACCAACACTCTGCCTGGCTTGCTTTGGCGTGCCTTAGCAGGAGAAGAATGAAGAACAGAAGCCCCAACAGATGCAGTGGGAAGAGTGGGATGTCTCTCTAAATCAGTGTTTTGCAAACTTGGGGACTTTAAGACAGGTTCTGGGAGTTGAAGTCCCCCCATCTTAAAAGTCTCTAAGGCTGATAAACACTGCTCTAAATACTAGGAGAAGGACTTCTTATTCGTGCTGGCTGGGGAATTCTGAGTGTTGAAGTCCCCCTGTCTTAAAGTCCCTAAGGCTGAGAAACACTGCTCTAAGTTACTAGGACAGGGATCTTCAAACTTGGCCCTTTTATGACTTGTGGACGTCAACTCCCAGAATTCCTCAGCCAGGCACGCTGGCTGAGGAATTCTGGGAGTTGACGTCCACAAGTCATAAAAGGACCAAATTTGAGGACCCCTGTACTAGGAGAAGGGCCTCTTCTTCGTGCTGGCTGGGGAATTCTGGGAGTTGAAGTCCACTGGTTTTAAAGTCCCCAAGGAGAGAAGCAACCTGGAATTAAGGAGAAACTTCCTAACAGTGAGAACAATTAACCAGAGGAACATTTTGCCTTCAGAAGTTACGGGTGCTTCATCATTGAAGATTATTAAGAAAAAAATTGGACGGTCACTTCTGAAATGGTCTAGAGCAGGAGTCCCCAACCCCTGGTCCGTGGACCGGCACCGGGCCACAGCATGCCGGCAACCGGGCCGTGCAAACAAGCGAAGCCCCATCCGTGCAATGCAGGCAGCACACGAAGCCATTGCCCCCTCTGGTCCGCAAAAAAAATCTCCATAGAACTGGTCCCTGCTGCCCCAAAGATTGGAGGCCTCTGGTCTAGGTTCTCCTGCTTGAGCAAGGGATTGTCTAGAACAGTGGTTCTCAACCTTTTTAATGCCGCGACCCCCAACCAGTCGTAAGTCGAGGACCAGTCAACCGGTCGTTAAGTCGAGGACTACTCAACTGGTGCAGCACCGTTTGCAGACTGGGGCTTTTGGCGGGCTCAGCAGGGCAGATACAGCCTGGACAATTCCTATTGGCTTTGGAAAGCCAATAGAATTAGACTCTATTCAAGAGAGTCTACTCTATTGGCTTTCAAAAGCCAATAGAATAAAAGGGAGAAGCACAGCTAAGGAAAAGGGGGAAAAATGGCGGACTATGTTGTTTGGCGACCCCCGTGAAATGGTCGTTCGACCCCAAATGGGGTCCTGACCCACAGGTTGAGAACCACTGGTCTAGAACAATGGTTCTTAACCTGGGTGGTATTGCCCCCCAGGGGGCGATTTCATTTTTCAGGGGGGCGATGGAATGAAAAGGGGCGACGCGGGGGCAAAGGAACAAAAAGGGGGCAATATGGGGGTGATGGAGCGAGAAGTTTTGGGGACACTTTTGAGACTTTTTCGTACAGTGAATGGCTGTATATCTGTCGTAAAAAAACATCAGATCGCTCGCTATTAGTGGATTGAATTGTGTTTTCAAATGTTCCTCCAGCTAGCTTCAGTACAGAACGCCGTACATACGTGAAGACGCATCGCTTATCTTCATGCGCGTTGCACAGCAGCCTCTACCCATACAGTGGCGCGCCATTAGCCAGAATATGGGAGATATGGGGAAAAGACTGGAAATAAATTATTTGCATCTCTATGTCCTGATGAACAATGTTAAAGAAAGCAAAAAATGTGTTTGCGTAAATTGAAGAATTATTTCCTATGTTGTGATGGAGAGGTTATGTTGGGGGAGGGGGGCGATGACAACTTCCTCATTGGCTCAAGGGGGCGATTCGTTCAAAAAGGTTAAGAACCACTGGACTAGATGACCTCCAAGGTCTCTTCCAGCTCTATTCTGAATTGAATTGAAAAAAATAGAGGAGAAGGCCAAAGAACAGGAGGCAGATCCAGAAGAAGGTGGAGAGAGAACATCAAAGACACACTACAAAAGCAGCATCTGTTAACAATGATGGAGGCTGCCAGGAGAGTAAGCACCAGAAATTTGCATCTCCCTCAACACCCAAAGCAGAAGAAGGAGGAAGAGGAGGAAGGAGAGAAGGAAGCTTCCATCACACCGATGTAGCTGCCATCTTGACCATATCTTGATGGGGTATTTGGACCACATCCCGGAGACGACCCTGCCAGGCTTTACAGCGGGAAAGGTTTTGGAGCCGGCAGGCCGGAACGGAAACATATGCCTGGGAAAAAAAATAAAATCTGTTAGTGAGCTCTGTTTCTTTAACTGTACCAGCTGGAGAAAATTCCAGCCTCTAGGAATGCAGCGTTTGCTCACTGAGGCGAGGGAGCCCCCTCTAAGTGCTTTGTGGCTGCTGGATATTGATCGGATGTGATGGCTGCAGCCAGGCGTGCAGGTGGAGACTCCACTCAGCTGCTGCCTTGGGGATGGGGTGGGGGAGCGGTGACCCTCCCAAACTGCAGAAGGTGGGGTCTCCGGCACAATCCTGCAGGCACCTGCTCCTCTTTCTCTTCCTCAAGGATGGATGCTGTTGCCACCAGATGCCTGTGCTGTTTGCTGAGCCCGTTCTAGGATGGCATTCACACCACACCCCAAACGCAGCAGTTGCTGTGTTGTGTGAAGCCTGCTCTGGCAGGAACTGTGTATTGTAGCTTAGGCTGGGGATGGGCTCAACCAGTTGTGCCAATTACGGTTTGAGGATTGTATAAATGCAGCCAAGATAACCTTGGAGGATGGACATCTCGGGAAAAGGTCTCTAGGGCGGGGGTCTCCAACCGTGGCAATTTTAAGACTTGTGGACTTCCAGAATAGACAGGAATTCTGGGCGTTGGAAGTCCACAAGTCTTAAAGTTGCCACAGTTGGAGACCCCTGCTCTAGAAGATGGATGGAGAGCCCTAGTTGAGCCTTCAAGTCCCAGAATTGCCTGTCTGCCTACCTGAGAATCGCTGAGCATTCTGGGAGATCAAGGCACCTCTCTGGAAAGCATCCAGGTTGCCGAAAGTGGAGGCAGGTGGGCAGGACGGAGGCAGCAAGCTGAGATAAGCCGGATCCCGTGTCATGGACCAGACATTTCACAGCAGTTGTCTTCGGCTCCAGTTTGCCTCCCCCCCAAAAAATCACACAACTGATTAGGCAGAGCTGGCAGCAGCAGCCTTCACCCCCTTGTACTGCCTTGTCCCCTCCCCACGGCTGCCCCTTCCCCCTGGATAAGCCTGTGGGGAGGGACAAGGGATCCAGAGCCACCAGCACTGTTGAGGAGAGGGGGAGTTCCCCCCACACACATCAGGGGAGGGAGCTGAGACAACCCAGGCCTGGATGATGTGACAGGCCAAGCCTTTTATGGAAGTGAGGGCCCTGCAAGCGTCTTTATCTCTCCCACCCACCTTCCTCCAGGAAGCACAACACCGCAGCTGCTGCGCTTTTGGGCTCCCAAAGGGGACGGCTGGGAGTTCCGCTCGCTCTCGTTAGGCAAGGAGGCAAAGCCAAGCGGGAAACACAACTTGAGCAGGTTTCCCATGGGTGGAGCGCCAGGCCAGTCTGAGGGGCTACAGCTAGGAGAGCCCCCCAAAGCATCATTCTACATCTTTATTTGGAAACCCAGTTGAGGCCCTCTCAGTTAAATAGATCAGTATATTTGTAGATCAATCTATTTCTCCTCCACCTTCTCCTTTTTCCTCCTCCATCTCCTCCTCATACCTCTTCTTCCTCTTCCCCCTTCTCATCCTTATCCCTCCTCCTTCTCCTCCTCCATCTCCTCCTCCGTTTTCCTCATCCCCTTATCCTCATCCTTATTCCTCCTCCTTATCCCTCTTCCTCTTCCTCCTCCACCTTCACCTCCTCCTCTTTCTCCGTCTCCTCTGCCTCTTCCCCTTCTCCTCATCCTCATCCTTATCCCTCCTCTTCTTCCTCTATCTCCTCCTTATCCCTCATCCCTCCGCCTCTTCTTCCACCTTCACCTCCTCCATTCTCCTCTTCTTATACCTCATCCCTCTTCTTTCTCCTCCATCTCCTCTTTCTCCTCCTCTTCCTCCTCGTCCCTTCTTCTTCTCTTCCTCCTCCTCCATTCAATAAAACAGTCCAAAACTCTTGGCTCCTCTGATATGTCACGCTGAGACACACTTCCAATCAAAAAGCAAAAACAACACAGATTTTCAGTGGTATTCACTACCTAAACCAAACCCCGGTTCATTCACAAAGTCTACTTGACAACACACTACTTCAAATCGGCCACAGGGCTCAGTTAAGTCTGTGGGTTGCCCTCCCTGCACAGAAGCTACAGCGCGATTTGTTGCTGTTTACTTACACTAAGCAAAGCGAGGCAATGGTTGTTGAGCCAGTGAACCTGGTTAACTAACTGGAGCTCAGGGCAACGTGTGAACCCAGCCTCTGGCTTGGGTGGGAAAGTCTGCTCAGTTTTAGAGGCTTGAATCTTTGGCTTCTTCTCAGAGAAAGAATTGGCAGTGGGCCCCTTGTTTATTTTTTAGGAAGGCACATGGGAGGAAAATCTCTCCGTATGTTTTGCCCGGTCCCTGCAATGGAAAATCGAGATCTTATAAAAAATAAAATAAAATTGCCCTCTGGGCGAACTTAAAGCTACAGAGGCTCTCTGAAAAATCACCATCTGAGCCCACTGACCAGGTATGACAACGACACTCTCCTTACCTGATTTCCTTGGCTGGTTTTGCACGCAAATGGAATCTCGGGAATATTACTCTGGCGGGAAAAGCTGCTCAGTCAGATAAAAAAGGCTGTAACTCATGAAATAAATGGCTAAGTGTCTGTTGGCAATTCTTTCAGGTGCCCGAAATAATTGGGGTGTTGGTGGGGGGGGAGAGAAGGACCAACGCAGTGGGACAGAACAGCTGTTTTGTACCGCAAGAAGAGTCCAGCTGCATGCCAGGAAGAAAGGAAGACGGATGCCAAAACCCAGGACAATTTCCGCCAGTCCAGTGGGAGCAATATTGAGTTAAATGGTGTTTCTCGGTTTTAGCAATGTGTGTGGACTCCAGTTCCCAGAAGTCCAATCAGCAAGCTGGCTGGGGAATTCTGGGAACTGAAGTCCACATGTCTTAAAGTGGCTGAGGTTGAGAAACACTTGAGTTAAAGGAACCTGATACAGACCTACTAAGGTCCTAATTAATTAATCAATCAATAGAATAGCTTGCCTCCTGCGGTTGTAAGTGACCGATCACTAGAGATTTTCCAAAACAGGCTGGACAACCATTTGACTGGGATGGTATGACTGGGATGGTATGAGATTCAGGTAGGTAGGTAGGTAAGTAGGTAGGTAGGTAGATAGATAGATAGATAGATAGATAGATAGATAGATAGATAGATAGATAGATAGATAGATAGATAGATAGATAGATAAGGGGCTTTTTTGTTATAGAACGCCCAGAATGGAGTTCCGGCACCTTTTTTTTAAAAAAAAGCACTGGATAGGTAGGTAGATAGATAGATAGATAGATAGATAGATAGATAGATAGATAGATAGATAGATAGATAGATAGATAGATAGATCTTTATTGTCATTTTTTACCGTGGGCACAATGGCACACATTAAAAATGAAATTTAGTTGCTTGCTCTTAAAGCGTACACATACATAACATACATTTAAACATACCATATGCAACATATGTATAGATTTATACCCTTACATATAGGTAAGATATAAATATTCATCACTGCCCATCTTGAACATATAACGGAAGGAGGAAGCTTTAGAGTTTAGTAACTTCCTCTCTCCTTATTTAAATCAGACCTTTAACCAGAACCATGAGGACTATACCCTTACATATAGGTAAGATATAAATATTCATCACTGCCCATCTTGAACATATAACGGAAGGAGGAAGCTTTAGAGTTTAGTAACTTCCTCTCTTCTTATTTAAATCAGACCTTTAACCAGAACCATGAGGACTAGAATTTTGCTTTAGTTTAGATGCGACCTTTTACTCAGTAGTAATTCACTTAAAACAGGAAAGCCAAGTTCTATCGCAGGGGTCTTCAAACTTGGCCCTTTTATGACTTGTGGACTTCAACTCCCAGAATTCCTCAGCCATGCTTGGCTGAGGAATTCTGGGAGTTGAAGTCCACAAGTCATAAAAGGGCCAAGTTTGAAGACCCCTGTTCTATCCCGTTGATGACGTGCGAGTGGGATCTCAGTTCCAGCTTGGAAGAGGAGATCCTTTGCAGATCTTGGCAGAACGGTGGGATCTCGCCACACACCACACATGGCTGGCTTGCTAGTTGTGGGCTTCCTGAGTGACTCCAGCAGGCATTGGGCTCATTCAATAAAATATTGCCGGTTGTGTGAATCAAACTCCCAAGGTCCAGGAGAGTGTTTGGGGCAAGAAGCCGCCTGGTTGCCAGAACTGAAGTTAAATTCATCCGTAAGGCCTTCAATAAAATTAGTGAAGAGAACTGGTTCCCTCTTAAAGCCGAATGTCTTGCAATCTTCCCAACCCAATCCTAAAGGGTTAAACTGGATTAACTCTCTTCCCAACCTATTAGGGAGCTGGTGTGGTCTGCGAGCCCCCTGGGCGGACCCCCCCTTCCTCTGGGCTGCTCCCTCTTGCTTTGACTATTTAAGGCAAATCTTACTCCAAACACTCAACCCATCTCTGCCCACTTTTTAAAATAACTTGCTGGGAACAAACAGAGAAAGCAGAAGTCCATAAATCAGGTAGTAACTTGCCAGCGTCTTCCAAATCATACTTCTTTGGACCTCTCCCCTAAAGCTGTTATGAAACAATAAAGCCACTCAGACAGTTCTATATCTGGATGCTGGGAAAGGCACCAACCTGTTGAATTCTACCTGTGACTTGGCCATTAGAGGAAAGATAGGCAAACTAACTGACATGGACAAAATTAAAAATATGACATAATGAACTGGGGGGGGGGGTGTTAAAAAAAGTTGAATGTAAGAACATAAGATGGGTTTTGTCAAAAAAAAGTTCTAATCATTCTCGGCTGAATCCAGGTGAGACAAAGCACCTGATTGACTGAACAAGCTGTAGGCTAAATGTTAACAAGTTTTACATTGAGAACTTTCTTAATTTTATCTCCGGTGGAGTACAGGTTTTCTTTTGACTTAAAACCAACTGTTCAAAGTTACGATGCGCACACACACACACACACACACACACACACACACACACACACAAAGATACGTACGACCCAATTCCAAAGTTCTGATGACCACTCCCCTCGTTTCTCCCAGGATCATGTGGGAGATCAGGGTTCAACCCAGCTGCTATTCTGTTCTATTCTGTTCTATTCTATTCTATTCTATTTTTCCCATTCCATATTTATTCTATTCTATTCTATTTTCTGTTCTATTTTCTATTCTTTTCTATTTTCTATTCTAAATTCTATTCTAAATTCAATTCAATTCTAAATTCTCTATTCTATTCTAAATTCTATTCTATTCTAAATTCACTATTCTATTCTATATTATATATTCTATTCTATTCTATTCTATTCATAAAAATAAAAAATGTCTCCAAGCTGCATGCTTTTATTGACTTAAAATTTGGAGTTAACAATCTTTTTTTCCTGGGGGTTTCTTTGTGGCAAACTAACTCTGCAGGGTTTAGAGATCTCTCCTCTTTGTTTTGCAAAAAGGGAGCACTAACATCTGTCTAGATCTACTCCTCTGAGGATGCCAGTAAAGACAGTCCGGTTGACCAAGCTTTTCATATCTGACCATGTTAAGAGGTGTAGATTTCAACTCCCAGCAAGTTGGCTGGGGGATTCTGGGAGCTGAAGCCCACACCTCTTCAAGTGGCCAAGTTTGGAAAAAAAATCCCACAGATCTTGGAGCAGAGCATCTCAAACTGAGGGCGGGGGGGGGGGCTTTCTGAAGAAGATGCTGTGGGAGGTTGGGTTTCCCCCAGATGCATCAGTGCACACATCGTGCTAAGTTATGGATGATTTCACCAACCGTAGTTTGCTCAGCTTACGTAGAACATGGCAGTTGTTCCTGGTACAAAATTTACTTTTCTCCGGTGCTGACTTGTGAAGCCACTTTGTCTTGGCCCCAGAACAGAAATCCTTTCCTTGAGTAGTCCATAAGCATACGATGAAATGCTTCTATCTTTTTTAGTCATTGCCTTTGAATAGTTTGGTGACTATTAGAAAAAAATAGCAGCATCGGAGTCTGACAAAGCAATGCCACCCTCTCTAGGTAAGCCCACTGGCAGGCATCACTTCAGGGGGGGGGGGTCCCTCAAGCCAGGATCAGCTCGGGTTGCAACAATGACCAAGTTAAATCCATTCCAAGCAAAATGAATGTTCCATTCCTGTCGAATCTCCATCCCTCAGGGGTTCTTGGCTGCAGATGGTGAGCATTGACGCTGGAGTGTGGAGTGAAGTCTGCAGGCCGCTGATGGCGAACCTAGACACACGTGTCAAAAGTGACACACCACGTTTTGGGCCACAGGTTCACCAACGGCTATTCTCAGAAACATACCCTTTTCTTGCACAATTTTCCGAGGCTACGGGAGAATGGGATGTGCTCTGGCGCGCGCAGCCTCCAGACCCTCTTGAAAGTCATGGGAGAGGGCTATCTCTGCTCTTGCACAGGGTCCAGAGCCTCCGAAAATTGTGCAAGAGCTGGGTGTGCTTTTACACAGTTTTTGGAGGCTGTAGAAGACCATTCCCGAAGCCACTTCAAGAATGAAGGAATTGTACGACTTGGAGCCGCCTTGATTTGCATTATTTAAACATAAATGAATAAGTAAAGAATTGTTTCTCTCTTTGCGGTGTACATGGGTGAGAGAGAGAGAGAGAGACCAGCAGAATCAAAGTAGACATTTTCTGAATTTTTGACACACTGAGGGCTTAAGGTTCATCATCACTACTACAGAGGCTAGGCTGGCATATCTGGACCAGGACTGCAATCTATGTCTGCATTGACTTTTGCCTGGGAAGTGGCAGTAAAGTGTAAAACCTTTAGTATTAGGAATGCTTGGTTGATAATTTCTGAGTTTGGAGTCTAAGCAACCTTGTTAGTAAAAAGGATAGGAGACAACAGACAACAAAATAGAATAGAATAGAATATAGAAAATAGAACAGAATAGAATATAGAATAGGAATAGAATAGAACAGAATATAGAACAGAATATAGAATAGAATATAGAAAATAGAATAGAACAGAACAGAATATAGATTATAGAACAGGAATAGAATATTGAATAGAAATAGGAATAGAATAGAATAGAATAGAATAGAATAGAATAGAATAGAATAGAATAGAATAGAATAGAAAACAGAACCGAATAGAATATAGAATAGGAATAGAACAGAACAGAACAGAACAGAATAGAATAGAATAGAATAGAATAGAATAGAGAAAATAGAACAGAATAGAATATAGATTATAGATTATAGAACAGAATAGAAATAGAATAGAATAGAATAAATAGAATAGCTTTATTGCCATTGTGTAACTCACAACAAAATTAAGTGCTGTCTATAGTGCACACTACACACAAGCAGTGCTTTTTTTCTGTTAAAAAAAAAGGTGCCAGAACTCACACATGTCATACAACCCGCCTTGCCTACCCTACAAGGTTCCATCCAAAAAAGGTGCCGGAACTCCGTTCTGGGCGTTCTATGAGAAAAAAAAGCCCTGCACACAAGTAAAAACCACAAGTAAACATATATACACACATCCTTCACATTCTACTCACCATTGCGCTGCCCCTAATATTGCACTTCAGTGTTGCTCTATACAGTTGTATTTAATATGGTTACAGCTCTGGGAGAAAAACTATTTTTTCAGCCTGTTTGTCTTGGTCTTAGCCACTCTTCGAAGTTACCACTGCACTGAAAACATTGACATGACCGTTTCTTACACTCGGGACCGCTGCAGCTTCCCCGCCTGATTTATACTCGGAGGCTTGGCAAACTGGTTCATATTTATGACCGCTGCTGTGTCTCAAGGTCAAGTGATCCCCTTTTGCGAATTTCTGACAAGCAAAGCCAATGGGGAAGCTGGATTCCCTTAACAACTGTGTTGCTGATTTAACAATCCGCAGTGATTCATTTGACAAGCATGGCCAGAAAAGTCGTAAAATGGGGCCAAACCCACTTAACCAATGTCTCAGCAACTGTAATATTGGTGCTCAGTTGAAGTCATAAACCGAGGACTACCTGTACTGGAAAGACTTAAAGTCCGATGGCAATTTAAAAAATAAAATAAAATAAAATCCTAGAAGAAAGGATTTTTTTTTTTAATGACTTCCTGCAGTGTTGCCAAGAAAAACAGCCTGGGTGATTCTCTCAAGGCCCTAATACAGGGATGCTCAAACATGGCCACTTTACGACTTGTGGACTTCAACTCCCAGAATAGTCTGAGGACCCCTGCCCTAAGAAATGAACCCTACACAGAGGAGATTTCACCTTTAATGAGGCCGCAAAGAAAAGAGACGGATATAACCATTTGCTGGAAACGTTGCTGGCTAAAATAAGTCTGCGAGAGGATCTGGAGACCATCAGCTTCACGCTGTCACAACAAAGTGATCCATGATGAAGTGGGTTTGCTTTATCAGATGGCAGCCATGAATACTTTCTGCGCAGGAAGGAATGCAACATCACAGCAGCATGACCAAGCACAGGCCTGTGCCATTTATAGGGACCACCAGTTTCCGAAGTGAAAAGCCTCTTTCCTGGATTTTTCTTCTCTGCCCAAAGAAGCTTTAAATGGCCTGAGAAATAAATCCTAATTTGTGGGACGATAGGGAAGCCTGGAACCCTTGCAATCTAAGCAACAGCAGCCCGTTTAAAGGCGTTATTTTGCATTTTAAGACGATCCCTTGGCTTCTGGAAAGAAGAATCTGCTTTTAAAACTATAAAGCGAGCGTTGATATGTTCTGCAGCGCCAGGGAAATTTGCACATCATTTGCAAAAGGCAGCAACTGTCTGCCCCAGCTGAAAGCAACGGAGGCTGTGTTTTGGGTGCTGGATGTCCCCAAGCCCTGCACAGTCCTAGTCCCGGTCCGTGTTTATTACAGTCAAGGTCCAGAGTGAGTTACAAACACTCAAGGAATATCCAATGTTTAAATTCTAGAATAAAATAATAAAGAAATAACATTCCAATTCAAATCATCATTTGGCGTCCAATCTTTCAGTTGCACGAGAACAAAACACAGCCTGGCCTATCATATAATAGCGATCCTCAAACCGTGGTCACGAAATATACTAAAATGCAAGATGGTGCAAAAGGGTTTGCGGCGTTAATTGGGCAAAATAACGATGATGGATTAATCCCCTCTTTCCAACAAATCCTCAGTTGCTGCTGAGTATAACTGCTCTTAAGTATTGTGATCACAGTCTGTTTGTCCTTAAGCATCCACGGGAGATAAGCAGTGTCAGAATGGCCAGGATACCTATTGATTGTTGGGAAGAGCACAGTCCTATAAAGGTGCGTTTGTACACCTCTGCGCCCCCCTCCCCCCAATATATTTACAGCAAAAAAATATTGTAAATCAGAAAGCAAGGATGCTTCCTTGCTTGAGCAGGGGGCTGGACTAGAAGACCTCCAAGGTCCCTTCCAGCTCTATTCTATTCCTCAGGCTTGTGAAGCGCCTACGTTACATATAATCCTCAATTTACAACCATTCGTTTAGTGTCCACTTGAAGTTACAGAAGCCCTAAAACGTGACTTATGACCGGTCTTCAACTTACGACCGTCACAGCACTCCCGTTATCAGGTGATCAAAATTCTAGCACTTGAAAACCAGCGTGTATTGTTTGCAGCGCCCTGGGATCAGGCAATTGTCATTGGCGACACTCCCAGCTGGCTTCGGACACGCAAAAAAGTCAATGGGGGAAGCCTGATTTGCTGAACGACTATGTGATTCTCTTAACAACTATGGCCAAAACGGTTGTAAAAATAAGTGTGACTCATTTAACCGTTGCCTTGCTTTGCAATGGAAATCCTGATCCCAACTGTAAGTCGTAAGTCAAGGACTTTCTAGATCAGGAGTCTGCAACCTTGACAGCTTTAAGAGGAATTCTGGGAACTGAAGTCCGCAAATCTTAAAGTTGTCAAGGTTGCAGACCCCTGTCCTAGATCTTGCAGGATGCTAACACTCCAGATGTTCAGCATCCTTTGCTAGAGAACCAACAACATTTAAACAGTCACTTGGGCTTCTCCAGCTCTGAGCTCAAATCTGGCTGCTACAAGCTGTCTTGCCCCCCCCCTTTAGGAAAGCCTCAGCTCACAGATTCACGCTGCTTTTTTGAATGATGCAAAGAATGCAGCGTTGAGCATGTTTTTCCTCTTGCCTCCATTGTTTTCAAAGCAGCTATCTACTTATTTATTCATTATTCATGAAGACTTAATATTGCAAGCTGCCTTGTAGGACCAGCCAAGCAAAGATTCCCAGTAGCTGATCAGAAAGTTCTTTAAGTCGGTCTGTTTTGGATTTTACTTGGGTGAGCTGCTTATGTCTGGCTAGGTACCTAGTGGTAGCGCAAGTTGTTTGCATGCAGAGATCCTGGGCTTCCTTCCGTACATCATCATCATCATCATCATCATCATTGAGAATGAGAGGGTGAAGATCTTGTGGGACTTTCGAATACAGACAGATAGCCATTTGGAATACACCAGATATCACAGTTGTAAAAAATCGAAGTATACAGCTGATTGATATCGCTGTACCAGGAGATGCCAGAATCAAAAAAGAACTGGAAAAAATTACAAAATATCACGACTTGGCCATCGAAACTGCGCGATTATGGATGAAATGTGTTAACAATGATACCCATTGTCATCAGGGCACTAGGAACTATGCCCAAAAATATTGCAACTATGCAAAATATTTCAAGAAACTGCAGCTTCCTGCAATAACTCCAGCAATGCTACAAAAAACTGCACTACTCGGAACATCTTATATTTTAAGGAGGTACCTGGTTGACACCTAGGATGCTGATAGCAACCTGTGTCAACCATCAGTGCCAGTCAACTTGAATGTTCGGTTGACTGAGGTTCACGTCTAATGAATAATAATAACATAAAGTTGGAAGGGACCTTGGAGGTCATCTAGTCCAACCCCCTGCTCAGGCAGGAAACCCTATATCATTTCAGACAAATGGCTGTCCAATCTCTTCTTAAAAAGAGTGTTGGAGTATTCATAGCTTCTGGACTCAGGTTGTTCCACTGATTAATTCAGGGGTCCCCAATCCCCGGTCCGTGGACCAGTACTGGGCCGCAGCCTGCCAGCAATGGGTCCACACAAACAAGCAAAGCCCCATCCATGGGATGCAGGCCACACACAAAACCACGCATTCTCCGGTCCGTGGAAAAATCTTTCCCCACAGAACCGGTCCCTGGTGCCCAAAAGGTTGGGGGCCTCTGGATCAATTGTTCTAACTGTCAGGAAATTTCTCCTTAGTTCTAGGTTGCTTCTCTCCTTGATTAGTTTCCATCCGTTGCTTCTTGTCCTGCCTTCAGGTGCTTTGGAGAATAGCTTGACTCCCTCTTCTTTGGGGCAGCCCCTGAGATATTGGAACATGGCTGTCATGTCATCCCTTGTCCTTCTCTTCATTAAACATCTCTCTGTGAAGCTGGAGGGGAGAGAGAGGCTTAACAAACATGTAACTAACTTAACAACTGCAGTGATTCTCTTAACCACTGTGGCAAGAAAGGTCATAAAATGGGGCACCTAGCAACATAAACATGGGGGTCAATTGTAATTTTGAGGACTAGCTGTGGCCCATACGCCTCCAAGCTATCCAATCAGCAAAAGAGGCTGCGTCAGTCCCAACCCAGCCAGAACACTAAATCTTCACCTGGGCCAATGTAGCCTTTTCCCACTCCAATATTTGCAAGTAAGTTGTCCCAGGGCACAGAATAATGGCTGTAACATTTATTTAAGGGAAGATTAAAATACTATCATGGCAGAATCTCGCAAGAAAAAAACAGTCTTGAGATAAGGGCTAGAGCTCTTTGTCTGTTGTTTATATAAGGACGTTATCTACTCAAAGTCAAGTTTCCAGTATCTTTATTGGCCTTTTCCGGGTGAGAAAAGCGGGGGGGGGGGGAAGGTGAAAAGAATGTGGAAAAAGAGAAGGAATAACTCTCGCCCCTCCCCTCATTCCCAGACACTCAGAGTTGTAAGATTTCCTGTGAGAAAAGCAAAATTTCCTGATGGGAAAAATGTAAAGGGAATTCACCGCCACCACTCCCACTCAAAAACTTTTGGTGAGAACGTCTTTCTCTTTCTCACCCTAAAGCAGGACTTAAGATGCCTTTTCTTCTTTTGCTGGAGAGCATAAAGCAGAAATTTTCTTAAGGTGAGGAGCTACAAATTGCTCTGGCTACCATAATCAGAAATACGGAGGAATAAGAAGAGGCTTCTGTGGCCGAAGCTCAAGGGATTCTTACAGGCTATTTTAAGTATAAAATAGCATTTTGCATTTATATAAAATGTAAATTGCACAGACGATATATAATTGCTATTGCCAAAGAATTCTTATAACCAAAAGGTTGTTTTGCCAGGAATCTACCTGTAAAGATACTTTGCAACTCCATTCTTTGCAAATAACCTGACTGCGAAAGAGTTAGTGGTTATTAGCAAGAGCAGTCCTGGCTTAAACGATCACTAGCTGATCCCATTTGATTTTAGCCAAAGTGACAGTTGCTCCTTGAAGTGCAGGGGAAGAATTACCTGACTTTTTTTTTTCAAAATTCAATGGAACGAATTAAATAAAGTTGCTTAATCGGGGGAGGTGTAGTAGGGCATTTACCCCAGTGTGGTGCCTCCTGCCCACTGATCCCTTTTAGTACAGAATTTGCTTTATTTTAATTTATTAGATTTTTTTTTTAAATCCTGCCTTTATTACTTTATGGGTAACTCCAGGCAGCAAATATACATAAAAAAAATTATTCTTCTTTTTATTATTTTTTTTGCCACAAATAACCACCCTGTAAAGTGAGCTGGCTGAGAGGGAAATACCAGCCCAAAGACACCCAGCTGACTTTCATGCCTAAGGCAGGACTAGAACTCACAGCCCCCTGGCTTCTTAGCCAGCACCTTAACAGCTGCACCAAATGAATCCCTTGCTTTCTGCAGATGAAATCAGATTATCCCCCCTCACACAAGGAACAACAAGGAGCATTTTTGCTGGATTAGAGTCTCTAGAATTCCCAGCACCCAGAGAGTCGTAATCCACACGTGAAGGGCGTCAAATGAGAGGAAGATGTGACCGGGCGTTTGTTTTCTCCACAAAATAATCTCCGTATCCGGAGAAAATGAAATTTAACAAACAAAGGAGGACGAGGCGGACTGTAAATGTGTTCCTTGTGTTAGCTGCATGTCTGAACGCGAAAGCTAATCCGAACAAACGGAAGACGAGAAGCCGCGGCGGCGGCGCCCTAAACTCCGGCCAAATTGGTTTGGGGAATAGCCGCCTCTACCCTCCACCCCACCCCACCCCGCCAGTCGCCTTCACACGAGTCTCCTTACACGGGTTGGAGAAGGGAGACCTTCAAAATGCAGGCAGAAGGGGTGAGATTTTTTTTTTCCTTCATGCCTCCCTTCAGACGGCCGCGATGCAGTCAGATTTCGCCCTGCCTTTTTAAAAATTATTATTTGCTTGTCATTTTCTCCTCTCAGAAGAGCGAAGGGAGCTTTTAACACCCCCGCGACCCTTCGCTTCGCTTTCGCCTGGCTGCCTTTCCAAGATAAAACGGGTCTTCTGATCGAGGAAAAACGCGGACCGTTTGGATCCGGTTTTCTTTTTTCTCCTTTCAAAAAAAAAAAAAAAATGTAAATAAGGAAATCAGAAGTCTCCTATACACACGCAAACACACCCAACAAAACCCCGGGCTTCCCAGCGAACGTGTGCATGGGGACCGCCTCGTCGCCTTCAAATTCTTGGCAGCGGGACCCAAATAAGCCAACCCAGATAGTAATAGTAGTAAAGTTGGAAGGGACCTTGGAGGTCATCTAGTCCAACCCCCTGCTCAGGCAGGAAACCCTACACCATTTCGGACAAATGGCTGTCCAATCTCTTCTTAAAAACTTCCAGTGTTGGAGCATTTACTGCTTCTGGAGGCAGGTTGTTCCACTGGTTAATTGTTCTCACTGTCAGGAAGTTTCTCCTTAGTTCTAGGTTGCTTCTCTCCTTAATTAGTTTCCACCCGTTTCCAACGCTTCGAAATAATAGGCAATAACGCTCTCCCCTTTCCAAGAAAAGCGGGGTTCTTCCTTAGCGCCCCCCCCGGCCCCCTCCCCGCGCAGGCGAAGTCTGGCTTGGCAAAGGCGTCGCTTGTCTTCAGCTCAGGTTTCTGCCCGCAATCTCTGCCAGGGCGACCGTGCTCCTGAGCATGTGCGGAGAGCCTTTTTTCTTCCCACAAGGACGCCCTCCGCCCCCCTTCGAAATTAACTATAAAGAAGGGGATGGCGAAAAGGCAGCGGCCCCCACTGCCCCCGGCTGCGGGGACCACCTTTGTGGGGGGGGCTAGAGGGTTACGGACGGGGGGGGGGAGAGAGGAACGATGCCCCGCAAATTGGCCGAGCTTTCAAGCGGCAGGAGAGCCCTTTAGGTTTTCCTGCAACGGATGAACCCCGCAACCTCTCTTGAGAACCGTGGCGGATCGGCCTTCGCGTGGAGAAGCGTTCCGACGTGCGAGAGTCGCTTCCCCTGGCAATTTTACACGCTACCGTCCCGCCGCGCTCCCGGCTCCTTGACGGGTGATGTCCCATTTGAGGAAACAACAGTTCTTTCGTTGACGCTCCAAAAGAGGGTCAGCCTTTGGTCCATTCCTCCTCCCCCCGCCCCGTCGGGGCTTCTGGTGCCCCACTCTCCAGCTCCCCCGATAAACCGGGGTTCGTTACGTGCCCGAGTTCAGAACTGAACCGAATGGAATATTTTCTTTGGCCGAGTCTGATTAGACGCACTAGGAAACCGTCGCGCTAAGCTACAGTTAAACCACAACTGGCAGAGTTCGCCCCGGGTCTTCAGGCCAAAAATGTATAATTTACAAACTACAATCGGGTTAGTCTCGCCATAACCCACGGTGGAAACCAAACAAGGCTTGGTTGTGTGAACCCAGCCCTCAAACACCAACCGCCTTGCTCGAAGACGCGGGATGCTTTCCCGCCCCCACGGGGGCTGGCATCCCTACAGCAAAAGAATAAAAACGGAATAAAATCGACAATCCTACGAGCAGTTTCTAGGAACGGCTTTCATCAAAGTGACCCCGTGGCTTATCTGGAAAAAAGAGAGAGAGAGAGAGAGAGAAGCAAAGGCAGAGCTGGTTAACCGCCTGGATGGGACACCACGAGGAAACCCCAGGGCCCTAGGACTCACTAGGAAGCCGGAAAAAAAAAATAGTCAGAAAATCGTCAACGGCGAAGGACTTTTATTGCTCCCAGAAAGAAAGAAAGAAAAAAGATGCGGACCCTTCGTGAAAGCCACGGGAATCGGGCCAGATCAGAGGGAGAATCCCCGACGTGGGAAGGAAGAAGGAGCCTAGCCGAGTCCCGGGTCTGAGCAGGCCGCGGGCAAAGCGTCATTTCACGGCTTCCCCTTAAGGGAAACGGGGGCGAGGTGGGCCCCTCCAAAGAGATCAAAGCGCATTTCAGGACAGGGAACAAATTTCGCCCAGCAAGCGAATTCATAACGAAACATCTGTATTTCCTATTGTCTCCCCGATCGCAAGCGGGTTTTGCTAACGCTCGTTTCTCTTTAATTCAGCTGCGCCCCGCAAGTCAGGACCCTTCAAATGCAGAATTGGAGGGGGGGACGCTTCCATCTCGCCAATGGCCGCATTCCCACGACCTCCATTTCCCAGCCAATTCCGTTTCTCCAGTTCTCTGCCTTTGCCCCACTCAAAATGACCCAAACCACCCAGGGGCCGCATCCGCAGGCGGCCAGCCCGGCTAAAATGGGCTCAGTGGTTCGGCGTGTCGTGCGAACGCTCGTTCAGAAGACCCCCCCTCCTTTAAGGAGAAACTTCCTAACCACGAGGACAATGAACCAGTGGAACGGCTTGCCACCAGAAATGGTGGGCGCTCCATCCCTGGAGGTTTTTAAGAAGAGGCTGGACGGTCACTTCTCTGGTTCTCCTGCTTGAGCGGAGGGCTGGACTAGAAGACCTCCAAGGTCCCTTCCAGCTCTATTCTATTCCTTCCTTCCACCTGGGAGGAAAGGACAGTCGCGCCCCCCCCCCGGGCGCCCAAAGCAGGACTTTCCTGGTTCCCCCAAAGGGTCCCTTTGCTACTTTGCCAAACGACAAAAAGGGGGGGGGAACCCTTCCTTCTCCCCCTCCTGAGACAGAAAAAAAAAGCGCGCGGGCCCTTTAAGGAAGTTCATCCAAGTTGAAAAAGTTTGGCGGCGGGCGGGCGCTGGGCCGCGGCCGTCGAAAGTCGCTGGGCGGGCGGAGGCGGGGATTGGCTGGCGGGTTCCCCTGGAGACCGAGCGGGGCCCGCCCCCCCGCCGCCTCGGCCCCGCCCCGCCCCGCCCCGCCGGGCGCGCGCACTGGAGGCGGCGAGAGGGGGGGTGCGTGCACGCGCGCGCGGAGGGGGGACTGGCGGGGTCCGGCGGAGGCGGCGGCGGCAGCAGCTGCAGCTCGTTGGCCCCCTCGGCCGCTCATTGGCCGGCAGCGGCGTCCAGCTGGCGGTGAGCCCGGGGCGCGTCCAATAAGCCGCGCTGCCTCCCCTCCCCGCCCCACCTGCCCCGCACTCGCGCACCTCGGAGCCCCGCAGCCCGGCCACCCCCGCTCCGCCACCTGCCTCACCTCGCCTCGCCTCGCCTCGCCTCGCCCCGCGGCGGCGGCACCACCGGCAGCAGCAGCAGCAGCAGCAGCAGCGCCGTCCAGGAGAATCCACGCGGCCCCTCCGCTCTCCTCAGGAAGCCCGCCAGCCCGGAGGGGAAGCCGCCGCCGCCGTCGCCGCCGCCGTCGGTCAGGCGAAGCAGCCACCTCGGAGCGGCGCCCGCGAGCCTCACCCTCCCCCCCCCTCCAGCCCGCGCCCACCATGAGCAACCTGGCCAAGGAGAGCGAGCACAGCAGCAGCAGCCTCGAGGAGGAGGTAAGCGCGGCCGGGCGGGCGCCCCCTCGGGGAAGGGGGACGGGGCTGGGCTGGGCTGGACTGGACTGGGGTGGAGGGAGCGCGCTGCGGGGTCCTGGGAGCTCCAGGTCCCGGCTGGGCGCTTCTCCTGGCCCGCAACCAACGCCCCCCCCCCCGCCGCCGCCGTCTGGGGGTCCTCCGCGTGGCCTGAGCTGGACGGCGAGGCTCCTCTGGCGGGGGAGGCTTTGGGGCTCGCCCTCCTCCGCTGGAGACCTCCGGATCCCCCCCCCCCTCCTTCCCGGCCCTGCCTGCCCTCCCCCCCCTTCCGCAGGCGCCCCTTTGGGGCTGGTTTCCTCGTGGGGGGAGAGTTGGCGAGGTAAGAAGTAGCCAATAGAGAGGCTGCACTTTGCCCTCCAGATGTGTCGCCCCTGCAGGCTCTTTGCACGCGACCCCGTCTAAGGATGGCTAGGCTCCCCCCCCCTCCCAGAGTCGTGGGGGCTTTCTTCAGACATGCCTCCCCCCCCCTTCACAACTTGCATCCCCTCTTCTGCCCGTCTAACCAGCATTGCCTGCGAAAGCTAAATCCCGGACGGATCTATTTCTGCGATTCTATTTCTGCGATTCGGCGCTCTTTCTGGGGTGGTTAGAAGGTGGTAGAGTTGCTGGGAAAAGAGGGGGACGGCGGTGGGGGTTCCCGTTGGCTATTTGGGGAAAGCTGGACGTGTCTTGGTTTTTCTCCTTAGAAACCCGCAACCCAAACGCAGCCCTGAAAATGTCAGAATCTGGTCAGGAATGGAGGTGGCTTGACTGGAGAGGGTTGACTAGCCCTTTGTGGCTGGGAGACCAGCTTCGGAGTGATGGGCGGTGGATGGCTGATTTTTTTCCCCCCTCCATCCATCCAGAATCTCTCCTGTATGACGTAAATGGTTTCAGTTGTATCGGCCACCCTTATAAAGAGGGTTTAGTCATCTGCTAGAGGTTCTCTCCATAGATGTTGTGATGTTGCTAAACCTGATCAAAACTTAGGTTATTATTATTACTAATTAGTGCTTGAATGAAAACTCGCTCCTATTCCTAAGGCTGAGTTGACTTCTGCTTAGGAAAGCACCACCTTCTGTTCCTCCCCAACCCTCTGAAAAACAGGCATGGAGCTTTGTTGGTGCAGAATGGCGACCAGTTCTGACCCAGCTCCTTAACCAATGGTGGATTCCCACTAGGCGTATTGCCGCAATGGAATTAACCTCTGGGAATGCTTGGCATGGACTTCCGTCTTTTGTTATGTATGAAAAAAAAATGCTCTTAAAATACAATTTTCTGAGGTAGCCGTAGAGGTGGGATCCTTGGGGTTTTGGTAATCGCACCTGAGACTTGCTCTTACTGTAATGACAACTGGATACTAGAACGTTATATCTGCACTTCTTGTGTGTGAAGCGAGAGTTCCAAGGCTGATACTCTCGGCTAGGCAACTGTGTGCCTTTCGTTCAGATGCTTCCTGATGCCTTCCGTGTGCTGGTTTTGTGTGTTTATGGTAGCTAGGAGGAAAACACTGTTCCTTCGTCTGTCGGTCAACAGGCCAAAATCAACCTGTCTGCAAGATGCTTATTTAAACCCACAGTAAATATCTTGCAGTCATGCAGTGAATCTTCCCTTTAAATGTACAGATGTTCTAAATAACTTTCCCAGTGTGCTTGAAGGTTTTTTTTTTAATGCTGGTAGAATGCTACCTGAACCTTGGTTTGTGGTCAGTGTAATGTCAATGCTGCATCTAATTTAGGCAATTCATTGGCATGTAAGGGCAGGACTGGCACAAGTAACAGTTTGCTGGTCTGTTTCTTTGACCTGGTAGTGCGGGGGGGGGGGAGAATTCATGACTTTCATCTTCATCTGAAAGTACTTTCAGCTCGTTTAGGTATGCTTTAATTTCTGTGAGGTTCTGGGCACTCGTAATGTCTATGAGATTCCATTTCCACAATTTGCAAATGGAAAATTCAGCATTTTGGTAAACAATCCTGACATTAAAGAAGCCCACTTCCAAAAGAGGCTACCTTGCATGCTTTTTTTTTTTTTTTGAAGAGAGAGTAAAGATAAAGCAAGCTTGCTTTTGGAGGAAAAAATAAATAAATTCCTTAAATAAATTCCCCTACAGGAGGCACCTTCACAAAATAGTTACACACTAAAATGTTTAACAACAATATGTTTCCATTTGCAGTAATAAAAGCCGAGTGGGGTTTCCCTTTGGCTGCAACATAATCTTTCTGTGGGCAGTTCTAATCCTTTTGATAGTTGCTGTGAATAGCTGAGAGGTTTCTCTTAAAAAACACCTGAAGTGGACAAATAAAAAGGGAACATAAATGATGTCACATTTGCTTCTTCAAAATTTCAAGCTAGATTTTTGTTTAGCCCTACCTGGAGATCGCTAGGATTGAACCTGCAAGATTAAAACCATCCGAGCAGTATATTAATCCATGACACTCTGATTAAAACAGCCCTCAAAATAAAAAGCTTTGTCATCAGCAGAGTTCACCTAACCTTCTAACTCAAAGGTCTGGGGGGGGGGGGAGAGGAACGGCTAGATCTTCAGAGCTTTACAAAACACTAACAAGGTTGAAGGTCATCTGGGACATTCTTGCTCGCTTCTAGGACAGTGGTTCTCAACCTTTTTAATGCCGTGACCTCCAACCGGTCGTAAGTCGAGGACTATTCAACTGGTACAGTACCGTTTGCACACTGGGACTTTTGGCGGGCTCAGCAGGGCAGAGACAGCCTGGACAATTCCTATTGGCTTTTGAAAGCCAATAGAATTAGACTCTGTTCAAGAGAGTCTATTCTATTGGCTTTCAAAAGCCAATAGAATAAAAGGGAGTAGCACAGCTAAGGAAAAGGGGGAAAAAATGGCGGACTGTGTTGTTTGGCGACCCCCGTGAAATGGTCGTTCAACTCCAAATGGGGTCCTCACCCACAGGTTGAGAACCACTATTCTAGGAGTTCAAGTTGGCCTACATCAGGGGTCTCCAACCTTGGCAATTTTATGACTTGTGACTTCATCTCCCAGAATTCTTCAGCCAGTCATGCTGCAACTCCATTCTTCTATCCATGCTGGATGATAAATTCTGAGAGTTGAAGTCCACAAGTCGTAAAGTTGCCAAGAGACCTTTCTTCAAATCTTGGTGATGGATGAGAATGTTGTTGGGATCCTATGTGTATTTTGAGTTTCAAGAGACCTTCTGTTGAAAACGAAGGCCTGAGTGCTGGTTTTTGTACTAATTCAAGCATCAAATAAGATTGGACACAAGGAGATACAGACCCTCCCTCAGTATCGTTGGATCAACCCCACCCCACACTAATCATCATTGTCTATGTCAGGGGTAGGCAACCTTGGCTCTTTTATGACTTGTGGACTTCAACTCCCAGAATTCCTGAGCCAGCATGGCTCAGCTTGGAAACCCCTCCCTTTCCCCTCAGCATGGCTGACTCAGGAATTCTGGGAGTTGAAGTCCACGAGTCATAAAAGAGCCAAGGTTGCCTACTCCTGGTCTATGTTGACCTTCATTTTTAGTTACAGAAGTCCAGGAAGGAAGTGTTCAAAATTCTGTTAAGATCTCCAGATGTGCTACATTTGAGTTGCCATTGTAGTATTATATTATATTGGCTGAGGGTTATGAGAACGGAGTCCAACCTATTTAGAATGGCTATATAAAGAATGGTTAAATGGGCCCTTTCAGTGTAGGGATTTATAATGTGTGAACCCAGTTGCTACCTGTTTAATCATGGCTTATTGGAGTTGCAGCACCAATTAAAATACCCTAGTTTGTGGGCTGGCAATTCTCAAGGGTAGGTGTTGAACAACCTTAGAAGCCATAGCTGAATTCACATAGCACACTAAGCCAAATATTGAGCCACAAACCACAACAGCATGTTTTGAAAAGTGACACTCTGCCCAAAATAAACATGTGCAACGTTTTAGTACCATGTATGACACTCAACTGCTTTGTGGCTTAGCAACATGTATGAATCCAGCCAAAGTAGGATGTTTCTTGTCTAAATAGACCGGCTCTGTTCTTTCTATCTATATATGGCTGCATCAAATGTGTTTACATCTCCCAGAGACGAGAAACAGAGTTCTTAAAGTTACAAAGGGGAATAAAGACACCCTCCGTAGCCTTCCAGGGTCTGGGTGCTCTGCCTGTGTGATTAACTTGGTGCTTATCTGGTTTGGCACAGCCCCTCCATTCTCCCAATATCTAACCAGTACTTTTTCCAGAGGGGTGCAGAGTAACAAACCTGCCCATAAAAAGTTTATTGACCAAAGAACACATTCTTGGTGTCTTGTAGTTGCTCCCCCCCCCCCGTGGGTTATTTATATCTTTCCAAGTAACTTGGCCCATTAAATGTTTTTTTTTCCATTATCCCAGGAAGTACAGGAATTGACAGCAAAATAATCCAGGGGTGGGGGGTGGGGAAGGTGATAACCTCGCTGTAAAAAAAGTACCTTCTTAAATGAATATTGGAAACCTGTATTGATTTAGCTGGCTGTAGCACAGGGCTCTCCAACCTTGGCGACTAAGACTTGTGGACTTCAACTCCCAGAAGTCCCCAGCCAGCCATGCTGGCTGGGGAATTCTGGGAATTGCAGTCCACAGGTCTCAAAGTTGCCAAGATTGGTGACCCCTGCTATAGAATGAGATTTGTGGCACAAACCTCTATATGGATGGTTTGGAACAGATGAAGTGTAGGCCAGGCTGCATTCTTAAGATGCTTGTTTGTCTAGGAATAGATGTAATTGGGTATCCCAATTCTGTCCTGGGGATAAAAATTGAGGACTGTCTGGACCTCACTACCACCAGAACCTCTGTTGCAGCCTTCAGACCTGCCAGAGTAGGTAGGATCAAGACTTTTGACTGATTTTGCATGTTTGGGAGAGTCAAATGGATATTTTAAGGCAGGGGTAGGCAACCTTGGCTCTTTTATGACTTATGGACTTCAACTCCCAGAATTCCTGAGCCAGCTATGCTGAGCTCTGC